TGCATCCTTCGTTCGCATGGCAGCAGCAGCAGCAGAAGCAGAAGCAGCAGCAGCAGCAGCCGGAATAGACACTCTACATACTCATGTCACGATGCAATTTCAGGATATTAATTGTTATAGTTGCGAGATGTGTCTGCTCGAATTGTTCCTGGGGCCTTTGTGCGTTGCAACGAGTTTCTAATCTTGTTGAAAACAAACCAAACCAAACCCATCGCATCGCATCGCATCGGCCTGCCATCCGCCGACTCTGTCAAGGGCAGAGCCGGAGCCAGAGCCAGAGCCAGAGCCTGGCATCTCGGCTACACTGACACAGGGATTTCCGTACATGACAAGCGGCAGCTATAATTTATAGAAGCTGCGTAAGTAAGCTGCGTGGTTAAGGATGCCGCTGCACACTGCGACACACACAGACACACACGCACGCACACACAGGAAAAGGGCTAGGCTAGGCCTTGGGGCTGGTGCTGAGGGCTGAGGGCTGGGGTTGGGGCAGCGCCCCTTTGGAAAGGCATGTTTGCCTTCGGTGCAGCCCATACCCATACCCATTCCCAGACACGGAACCGGCTTCTTCTCCTCGAAGACCCAGCGTCTGCTATGATGCTGTATATTTGTTCTCGTCTTGTTTCACTTAAATGACACTTTGCATTCTTGTAGAGTCTTGAAACACTCCCCTTCGCCTGCATCCACCGCCGAAAATGCCTTAGAACGCCCCTTTTCTGTGCGGCAACACTCGTGGGAGTAAGCCGGGTACGGGTACGGGTACGGGTCTGGAAAGGGGTGCGAGGGACTATTCCGGCAAAATGCTGGGACTTAGGCAAACGGATCTTAGGAATTTTCCCTTAATTATTTTGTGCAAATTTGTGTTCTTTGGTATTTTATAATTGAGTGTGAATATTTTCGATTGATATGAAAATTTGTGAAAATTTAATAAAATATCCTGTGCAATCTATAGGGCTCCCCTCAATGCTGCTAATTGGCCAAACAGACTCAAGAACTTTTGGCCAAGAGAAAGCTGTTCGGTGCTTAGTCCTTTAACACATAAATTGTACATGTTTTCCTTGGGAAACGCATACACAAAGGATGAAATGTTATCCATGAAAATATACAATATACTCAAATATGTAAGTTTTTAGAGCTCCTTCCGGAAGTTAGCGATGCCATCAAGTATTTGCATTTTCCAGATATACATACATATTTATCTATCCACTACCGAGGTTTGAGCGGATGCGAATCGTGATGCGTCATAATGATTGAATGGATGATGGGCCTAAAAGATGAGCATAGCAGCCCTGCCTGCCCTTCACGATGACCACTCTGTTTGGGCAAGATTTCTCGTCTGAGATGACGATCCTAACATAAAGAAGGCAACTAATCACAATAGTACCTACTGCGACTGCGACTGCGACGGCGACTGCGACTGTCAATAATAAATTACCTTGATTTTCACATGGTGTTGAAGGATTGCCCACACACGACCGGGATCGGCGATCGGGGATCGGGACTGGGTCTGGGGCTGGGACAGTGAGAGGGAGAGGGGACCGAGCGACGCATATACGTCGTACTGGGGGAAACGGGTTATATCTGGCTGGAAAGTAAATGCGACAAGTTTCCAAATGGGTAACAATTTTCAAAGTGATTAATTCGCCTGCTGGCTGCCATCGAGCATTTGGCCATAGGATTGATTTATGGCCGCAAGACGTTAAGTGGATGCAAGATAAGTTAACTGTCGTATATATCCTCGCCGCTGGTGACCGATCCGAAACAATACCGAGAATGTCGACCGAATGGAAACGGTTGCGACAGCAGCAGCAGCAGCAATCGCTCCGGCGCTGGGGCACCACTGCTGGGGCAGAGATCCCATGGTTTATGACCCATAAATGAGATCGCTTCACAAGCGCAGCGAAGGAAGGACCTGGCCACTCGACGTGCCATGAGATGCCATGAGATACGATTAATTTACCCGGCTTACTGATTGGCCCCATATGTAATGGGAAATTTTATGCCCACTGCGGTCGGTCATTTAGTATTGTAAAACATCTCGTAAAGCGTATAAGGCACTTGGCCTCCGCTAAACTATGGGAACGGAACGGAACGGAACTAATGCCCCGCTGATGGGGCAGGCACCACGAGCATAGAACGTACAGAAAACCGTTTAAGAAATTAGTTACTAAATATGTAGGCAGCTAAGCACCACTGACAGATGAGTACAAGAGCGCCACTCTGCATGTGGTGCCTCCCTACATACCTCTATACATATCTGCATGTCTGTCTACCTATACCTTTATATATATGTATGTGTGTATGTACTATTCGTACTCGTAATCTGTGTGTATGGAGCTGTAATACCTACATGCGAGCATGTACATAGGTAAACTGTGTCAAGCCAACAGAGAAAATTAATCACTTGCACTTACAAATACGAGTATCGTCCGTGGCTAATTCGGTCTCGTCGGCTCATCGAAACTTGCGATGCGATGCGATGCGATGCGATGGCATGGCCTGCCCGCCGTACGCCTTCGCTGGCTGTCAATTTCAATTGAATTGGCAATTTGTTGCATAATCGAGCCACTGCTTAATGTTAATTTATCAATCGCCGATAGTCGTTACAAATTGTTGTCACCATAAACGCCAACTTGGAAGTACCCAAAGCACATAGATGAGGCGCATATGTACATACATACTGCATACGTACAAACATACAAACATACATATGTGCAAATAGACAATGATGCCAAGTCTGTTTGCTGTTTGCTGTCTCGCGTATTTGACAATTTCAGCGTAAACTCGAAAAAACTTGGTCACAGCCAACTATTAGCCAACTAGTGTATGTACGTACATGTCCTATTTGGCTTAGTCATAGAATCCAACGGAAATGAGAAGATAAGACCAACCCAAGTCGGAAATGCCCGTATTCTCCGATCGACTATATTTAGGTCTCGAAAATTGCATCTGAAACACACTCCGCGACACTTGAATAGTAAACATTAAAATATACATAAAAGCGCTAACACTGAAAGCACATTCCTAAGAGATCTGTAAATCTTTATGAAATTTGGTATAATTTTTAGAAAAATATAATAGTAATGTTCCTTCAATGCTTTTATTTTCGATTTCCTTCGACAGAAGACTACCACAACCCATATTTATACCCGATACTTAACGAGCTTAAGGATATGTATATGTATTCGATGTGTGGTAGAAGTGGATATGTGTAACACCCAGAAGGAAGCGTTTCCGACCCCATGAGGTAGATATATTCTTGAACAGCATCAATAGACGAGTCGATATAGCCATGTCTATCTGTCCAGCCGTCTTGTTTGTCGCCCAGTTCACAGATACTATAATTTTTAAGAATACTTAAGAATTTCGCCAATATTAGAGATACGAGAAAACATACAACGCAGAATCATAGAGAATGACAATACCTAGCAGATTGCTAAGTCTGGTTCAGATCAGATCCCTAGTATAGCCAGTAGGAACAAATTAAATTGCAAATGCAATGCCACGCCTTCCACGCCCTTACTTATTTTCTGGCTCTCTCTCACACACTCATCGTCGTGCAATGTGTGCGCCCTCTGGCGAAGGGGAGCCACACTGACTGAGTAACGGCTATAAAGTAAAGCCGCGACATTTGCCTTGCCAACGTTACCAACGTTACGTTAGTTTTTTTGTAGTTTGGACACCCGGATTAAATTTGGAGAAACTTTTCGATGTCCGCTGGCGACCATAACCAATAAAAACTAATTTTCATTGTGATTGTCGGTATTCAAGAAGAACGAAAAGAACGAATTACTTAAATTCAATTTCTTTCCTCAATCTCCTCCTATTCATTTTTCACCATTTTCTTTAGATTTTGGTATAAGTATTTGGGCTTTTATGTATCTTTTAAATGTATTGTATTCAAGTGTCAATGAGTGTATTCCCTCTCTTTGCAAAGCATCCGAGCAAAGTCAGAATACCTACCTTATATTAGGATGGGTACAAAAAAACACCAATTACATATGTCATACAGAATTGGTCACCATCAGATTTCAACATCGCGCTACTAAAATTAAACTGTAAGACATTTGTGCGCGTTTTTCCGTCTAGACCGAAATTAATTAATGAGAATAACAATATTACATGTTTATTTTGGATTGGCATTGCGAAAAAACTGTCAATTTTATTTGTCAATATCAATACTCGCATGTACATACATGTAAAGCATCGCTTTTCAGACAACCTGTCGTATGTTAAATTGGAAATTGTATAAATTATAGTAATGCATTAGAGGCGGGAAAGCAATTAGCCATAGTTTTAGCAAAAAGTGTTTGTTGGCGTATAAATTACCAACAAACAAAAAAAAGAACAAAAAAATCAATAACTATTTAGTGTAATGTTTTCAAATGTACGTACGCGGTTCCATCATGTTCTACCAGGTGTGGCAGAATGTTGCTTGATGTTTAATAAGTTTTATAAGTGCCGTCCATTAGCAGAACCAGTGGAATACTTTATTGGTATTCACAGAGGAAAGCAGCACTAAGCAATGTACATATATTCTCTCTTTTCAATTTGGGGTCTCCCCAAATCGGATCTTCGATTATACGTGTTCTAATTAGTTCTGAACATTGTCCATTCGAATACTTACTTCCCAAGAATTCCATGCCAAAAAATTCCATGACACAAGGGCAGGGTGCTCAATTATTTTTCATGATTATAAAGATTTATTGAACGATTTAAAATTATTTAGATTATATGTGTTCATATAGACGAAGTGTTTGTTTAGTGTGAAGTCTGTTAGACAATGAAAAATTTATCACAGTTGTATAACCTTATTTTGTTCTAATTTAGTATTTTGTTTTCTTAGCTTAAATTGCTGAAAAAAAAAAAAAAAAATTGTTTGAAGAGAAACATTTGATCCGATACTCTAAATACGCATTAAGACGATTCATAACTTTAATAAAAAAAAAAATAATATATTTATGTTACGATAAATATATACTAATGTGATATTTGTAGCTTTAATATTAAATATTACACAATTCATTATATTTTTGCACGAACCCGTCGGCCACTTGTATATTAAGTAATCTGGATATCTGTCTATGTCAGAACCGTAAAGCACCTCTGAAGCATGGTGCACATGGAGTCTAAACAGTTAGTCAAATAGTAAATATGTAGGTTCCCGTTGAGCTTAGTTGGTATTTAGTTGGTATACTTCTTGAAGAGCGGCTTGAACATGGCCGCCTCGTTTCGCTGCAGCTGCGGCGAGGAGGAGCTGCTGCTGCTCCCGCTGCTGTACTCATCTCTGGGGGAGTACTCACCGAGACGGGCCGAGAAGTTCATCGGATAGTTGGAGCCGAAATTGAAGGCGTTAATGTTGGTGTTGCCGATACTGTTGCTGTTGCTGTTGCTGCTACTGCGACAAGTAGCGGTCATAGGGGCTTGAGAAGCGGTAGGAAGGAGACTCAAAGCTCCGTTCAACACTTTCATATTCGGCGGAGTTTGGGGTGGAGTATCGGGTTGGGCTTCGAGAAACCCCATCGCCCGCGGATTCACTGTTGACTGAGATGGCAGCTGCTGCTGCTGCTGCTGCTGCTGCTGCTGCTGCAAGTGCGGATGCGGATGCGGGTGTTGGAGTCCCTGACGATGGGCCGAGAACTGAAGCGGCTGCTGTGCCGGAGCTGGAGCCTGGGGCAGGAGGCCCATAGCTCCGTTCGAATTTCCCGTAGTATGGATGGTAGGCGTATGTGTGCCGCTGGAACTGTGTGTGCTGCTGCTCCGCTGGCTGTGCTGCTGCTGCTGCTGCTGCAGCTGCGTACTGTTGTACGGGGCACTGTTCGTAGTATGGAGCTGCTGCGTCGTAGCCCCTAGAAAACCCCCGTAGGCCGTGGTATGCGGCCGTAAATAGGGTGCTCCGTTGAACAGATGATGGTTCCCCATCGGCAGTGTCTGTTGCTCTTGCGGCTGATGGGCTCGCGGCGCTTGCCCCGGACTCCCGGGAACCATGCCCATGTTCTCCTGCTGTGGCTGCTGCACCTGCGGATGCAACTGCTGATGCATATGCTGCTGCTGCTGCTGCTGCTGCTGCTGCTGCTGCTGCGGCGGCATCCCCTGGGCCAGCACCTGCCCCTGGCCCATGTACGACGGCGGCGGGGTCTTGCAGCCAACTGTGTCGGCCAAGCTCCAGATTTTGGGCTTGGTGGCTGGAATCGGCACGCCACAGTCCCGGCCTAATTGGTTTTTTGGATCACTGTGTTCCGTCTGCTTGTTGGCCAGGCCTCCACCGTCTGCTCCGCCGTGAAAGGCGCTGCCCAGCATGCCCTGCTGTGGCTGGTAGTAGGCAGGATGCTGGTGGTACGGGTGGTACCCAGCCGGATGACCACCGCCGGAACCGGCACCGCCATGGTAGGGGCCGGGGCCGGGGCCGGCAGAGGGATACCCAAAGCCGGCGCGGAGTATGTTCGCCTGGCCAATGCACTTCTGATCCTCGTCGATGGCATCCTCCTCCTCTTTGGTCACATCTGTGCGTCAAAGAACAAGGCATACATCCGACTGTGAAGATTACTTCAACGACTAACAATGAAAGCGTGGAGATTACCTTTGGCCAAACTGCTGCTCTGGGATCCCTTGATGGGCTCCAGATCCTCCTTATCCTTCTCATCGTCCGACACCAAGGCGTCGTCGTCGTCGTCGGTGCGGTTCTTCGGCTCCCAGGTCATCTTGTTCTCCTTCTTCAAGCGCCGTCGGGCATTGGCGAACCACGTGGAGACCTGGGTCAGCGTCATCTTGGTGATAATGGCCAGCATAATCTTCTCGCCCTTGGTGGGATAGGGGTTCTTCTTGTGCTCGTTCAGCCAGGCCTTGAGCGTGGCCGTCGACTCGCGGGTGGCATTCTTGCGGCGAGCAGCCAGATCATAGCTGGCCCCATAGCTGCAATAAAAAGAGTTAATGGTAGCCTTTAAGTCTTGTCCGTAATTTGTTGTACAAAGAGGCGTGCCAGCACTCTACTCTGGTCGGTTCTAATTGCAATGCCACCGCTACCGCCACCGCCACCGCCACCGCCGCCACGAATCGGGGCAGCAGAAGCGCAAAAGACAGCAAAACATGGAGATTCATTAAAAATGCGGAAAATTCAAATTGATGTTTTCGCTGCCACCAGCCAGGCAGCCAGCAGCCAGCAGCTACCAGCTACCAGCCCGCGGTATCCCGGTATCCCGGTATGCCGGATCCCGGATCCCTTCAGTGTAGTACAACGTCAAAGTATTGTAAAACACAGTTGTGAAACAGGCAAACGGCCACAAAAAGGAGCAAAGCAAGGCATCTCCAGCAATAACGAGGACGACAGCGCAACGAGAGCATATGGTAAGTGGGTGCAACACTGGGTGCCGGCTGTACTGCACTTATCGCGTTTTTTATCCCATCCGAGGATGTGGCAGCATCTGCCTCTTCCACCCCCATCCTCATCCCCATCCCCATCCTCATCCGCCTCCACTTTGCTATGCAATAATGGTCTATGCCCTGTCGGACGCTCCCTTTCGCTGGGAGTGGTGCCAGCCTGTGCCTGCCCCAAGCATTTCCTAGCTAAATTAAACCCCAGCCCAGCCCGTGCGTATTCCGTTGCACATCCGGCCCTTCCTTCCGCTCTCGCTCTCGTCCTTGTCCTCCTCCTCGTCCTCCTCCTCGTCCTCCTCCTCGTCCTCCTCCTCGTCCTCGTGGGGCATTTCACTTTCGGGTCTTTCCCCGTTGCCCGTTCCCCGTACCGCTCTTTTTTGCTGTTCTGTTTTTCCAGACTCCACAATAATCGTTCCTTTTTTTTATCCCGATTCACTCTGTTCTATTTTTTGTTGTACTTTTTATTCCTTTTTCATGGCATTTTATGGTGCCACAATCAACAGTTTGTGCGGTGAATTTTACAACAAGATAAAGTACGACAACGGAGCTTGGCCTGCTGCCCGTCGGATGTAGATTCGGGCTCTGTCCGTCTGCCCGTCTGTCCGACTGTCCGTCTGCCCGACTGTCCGGGTCCCTTCTCATTGCTATTCCGCTTCTTTTTTTTTTTTGTTGCTCTTCAAATCAACTTTGATTATGGTATGGGCTGTGGGTGGAGACTATTCTATCGACGGAGATGTGGACTTTAAAATCCCAGTGATTCTTTAGTGGAAACATTGAATGGAGAAAGAGGTACAAGTACAAATACAAGTACAAATACAAGTACTAGTACTAGTACTAGTACTAGTACTAGTACTAGTACTAGTACTTGTAGTGCATTATTATCGCTCAGGTCGGTAGTTCCCGGGGGCGGGGACGAATACCCCCGTAAATAAAGCACTGAATGATACGCTTAGTGGGCTTTTTTGTTCTCTGATGTTTTACAACCTTACAAACATCAATTTGTCAGTAATTGGCACGCATCCTATTTTCGTTGCGGCCCATATATAATTACACAAAACAGCCATATACATATACATACATATGTATGTACATACATATGTACATGTGTCTGCTTCTTTTTGGCATAACTCGCAAACAACAACAACAACAACAACAAAAACAAAAAAATAAAAATACGTTGCGCACGGGCTGAAATTGGCCGCCTCTGCTCTGCTAGCGGGCCATAATCTTGTTAACAAATCACATTCTTGTTCACACAAATACAACCGACCGTTGCTGCCACTGCCACTGTTCGGGCAGAGACCAAGTTAGAGACGGATGCCATGTTGATGCCGCCGATTCCGATGCCGATGAAGCCGATGAAGCCGGGGCTTTTAGCCACAAAACTGAGGTTGGCCGAACGGACCGCTTATTAGTTTTAGACCCCGCTTACACACATTTACATTTCAGCTTTTATATGAACACATGCAATTTGGTCGACGGCGGTCCGTCCACCAATTACTGTTGTTGTTGTTGCTGTTGTTGTCGTTGTTGTTGCCATTATCTGGGAGCTGCAATTTACAGGCCCCCGAACACATTTTAAACAAATAATGCCCGCACGCCAAAACACAAAATGACATTGGCTCCAGTTGAGCGCCGAGCAGACATGGGCATGCCTGTCAGTCGGTAATTACTGACTGTCACTTGTCCCCCCATCGCCCATCGTCCATCACCCTTCCACTAGACAGACAGACAGACAGACAGACAGACAGTCAGTTTGCTACCTTTTGCCACCCCACAGACCCCTCGATCAGGGGGTAACGCCACTGCCAATCTGTGGCGATGAGCTACAAATACAAAGCGCAATCATTCCCCCCTTAAATGTTTGTCAACCCATATACTACCTATACGCGTGCATATAATGCTAAGTATGTATCTGTACACTGTACACTGTACACTGTGCATGTACGTGTATGCTGGCCCCCAATATGGCGGCCAACATGGCGTTCATTTGCTGCTGCTGCTGCTGCTGCTGCTGCTGCTGCTGCTGTGGCTGCTGCTCACACCTCGATCCCCTTTAGCCAGCGCTTACAACTCACTCGCTCACTCATTCATTCATTCATTCACTCGGCTGCAGTCTCCCCGTCCCCGTCCACGTCCACGTCCACGTTCCAGGTCCCAGTCTATACAGTCCCGCAGCAAGCTCGATTTCATGGGCTTTCCGCACGCAAGCCATGAGGCCGTCGTCCAACGGGAAGCCGCAGCCGTTGCATGCCACCGCCTCTCACTCGAACTTGGACTCGTACTCGCATTCGTATTCGGACTCGCACTCGGACTCGGACTCCGCCGCCAACTGTCCCGTCCGTCCGCAGTCCGTAGTCGTATCAATTCTGGTATGCGTATGCGTATGCGTATGCGTATGCACCCACGTGTGTATGTATATCTTACAGATACATCCATATACATACATACATATATGTACAACAAATTCTATATATATCCAGAACTCCTGCAAGAGTATGCGTTATACGCTCTGTCGTGCAATTAACTGCTGTGTTTTTTTTTTTTTTTTTGCTGCAACAGCAGCAGCGGCAGTGGCAGCAATCATAAATAAATAATTTCGCGCATTCAAATTTTATTATCGCCGCTCCCTAGGGAGAGACCTCGCCACAGCAGCAGAGACGCCATCCACCCATCCACCGAAGGCAATTAAACTCAAATCAATTTCAAGTACTCGCAAATATTTTGTAATTAATTATGGACGCGCGATTGCATTTGATACGCAGAGCAGAGCAGAGCAGCATATATATTCAATTCGGACTAAAAGGCTTTCAATTTCTATTAGCCGAGGGGGTAATTAATTCTTATTTAAGACCTCAATGACTGACTGGATGGGGCCTTAATTGTTCGCTGAAAGATATCCGATTACCCGCTGAAAGCCCCTTGCCCAGGCCCAGGAGCTGGTCTGAATGGCGTATAAATTAACGAGAAACACATCTTTAAATATCCACCCATAATATCTATATAATATAATGAATATCTTACCCATATGCCGACATTGGGTCATAGGAATAGTATCCCGTTGTGGGCTGCAGGCCTGCCGATGTCCAGGCTCCCATCTCCGCGCCAGATCCCGTCTCCTTAAGTCCGTACGGATTGCTCTGAAATAATCAAGCGAATTTTTCATTCTGCAAAAGTTCTAGACACAAAAACAACAAAAAAGAAACCCCCTTGACTCGGACTTTTATAGAGTTATTATTTGTCACAGCCTTAAAGCGTTAAAGCATTAAAGATTCAAGCGAAAAATATTTTCCCACAGTTTTCGAAGTTGACAATTTTGTTAACATGGAATTTATAATTTGCCAACATATTTTGCAATGAAACAAGCAAATGCTCAAACCGGCCATATTTTATAGCCAGATACAGCTACAGCTACAGATACAGATACAGATACAGATATAAAAAAACAAACAAATACATATTTTAAGGCTGCCGCCAACAACTTTCCTAAAAATCAAAAACAAAAATTATCTAAGCCGAAAGCGCCGATTATTGTTATACGAGTATGTATTATATGGAAGCGCTTATGTTCGAAGTCTCGATTCGAATTTTAATTTGGAGCTTACTAGTGGTCGTTGGGTGTCTGTTGGTCTGTTGGTCCGACTGTCCGCTGGCTGTGGCGTGCTGCGATTTATGCCCTCGGAAAATGACAGCCGGATTTATGAGCGACAACTATTGGCCAGATCGCCGGCGGTTGGGCGAGTCGAGCGCCCAATCTGGTTGGCCCTGCTGTCGACCCGAGCTTTTGTGAGCTCTTGATTTATGAAAGGGTATTAACATTTTTAATTGCTTAACATCATGTATGCCGTTGTTTATTAATTTTTAACTCTGCTCTACCTTCACCTCAACGCCGTCGCCGTCGGCGTCGCCATCGGGATCGGCATCGCCGCCGATTCGCCGATTCACCGATACAGATGCCGCCGCATCCGAGTGACAAATATATTTATCAAGCTGTCATTCCGGCCATAGATTGGGGAACAGGTATCGGACATTGGACATCGCACATCGCACACGACTATCGCCAGAGAGCCATCTACATGGCCACCACGCGGTGAATAGAGAAGGAGAAGGAGCCCTGAGACTGTCACAGGTGCATCACATCTGGGAGAGTGTTAGATCTCCAGATCGAGCATTAGCACCTCGGAGGGAGGGCAGAGGCAGAGGCAGAGGCAGGGCCAGCAGAGTGGGCGGGCCGCACTACGCAACAAAATTGAGCAATGACATCTTATCGGTGGGGGCCCAGTGATATTTTCTTAATTAAAAGTATGCGCTTCGTGACGGGCCGATAAAGACGGCACTCTGGCCAGGTAGTACGAGCGGGCACGGCACACACGGGCACACACGGGCACACAGGCACTGCCTCTGCCACAGTGCCACTCTGCCACACTGCCACAGCAGAGACAGAGCAGCGGAGGGGAGAGAGAACTCGGAATGAATTTCCTGTTGTTGTAAATAACAATTTAACATGACACTTTGGTGGCTGCCGCCGCAGAGTGTCCGCCCCATTTGCCGCTTCTCCTGGGGGCAGGCATCATCGCCGTTACATCACTCTTTCGCCGAGGGTTCTTTGATGTGCCACCAGAGAGAGCCGCCAAAGTTGATTAGACGCTTTTTACATATTAATTAGACCACACTTCAACTAGCCAAGGTCCTATGATTCCCATAAACATACGTACCTAGTGCCAGTGCGATCAAAGTTTGACACATTTCCTCTCTCCCCCTTCTCGAGGACGAGTGCTCCTCCTGTCGCAAGTCAAGAGAGAGGAAGGGCGAGGGAGATGAGCATAATCCTCGACAAGAACTAACATGATGTCCCTATAAACACACTCTTTGTTGTGGCCCGGTTTGGTTTGGGCCAGTCTTTGGGCTGCTTATTTGTCAAGGCTAAATACTGTCCACGTTGTTGTGCGAGTGCGAGTACGAGTACGAGTACGAGTACGAGTACGAATACGAATACGAGTGTATTGTTGCAAATTCTCGAGTGTGTGTGTGTGTGTCGGTGTGTTTGTGTGCCTGTGTTTGCCTTTCATTGAGCCAACTCGTGTTGCTTCTGAACCCGCTTCGAGTTCTGTTTTTTTCCATTTTTTTGTTCTGTTTTTTTTTTGCCCGGCTGCCTGCTCGGGTACATTTCAGCGGTCTCCGGGAGACTGCAAGCGGACTTGAGGACTTGGGGGTATGGTATGGAGCATAAGCTTGATTAGCCCACACATACGAGTGTATACGTAGAGTCTCATCTGGGAGTGTAATTGAGGCCATGGGGCAATATGTTTTGTTTCCAATGATTTTGCCTTTCTTTATGCAACGTATCGAGTATCGCAATGGAAGCCACCAGCAGCAGCAGCAGCAGCGGGGGCAGGGGCAGCGGGGGCAGCGGGGGCAGCGGGGGCAGCGGGGGCAGGGACAGCAGCAACAACATCGGCATTGCCCATGAATTAGGTAGATGGATAGAGAGAGATAGAGAGCCAAGGATGGATGGGGGTTCAAAAGGAAACTAAACCCGGACCGGAGCTAAATGAGGTTTGACTGAGCTTCAGTCAGCCATAATGATAATTCGATTTACTCGACTGCATTGACAAGCCATCGTCGTCTTTGTTGTCGTTGTCGTTGTCGTTGTCAGTCCCGCTCCCGCTCCCCCCTCCCCCTCGCAATCCCTCTCTACCACTGTATCCCACTGTATTCCCGGACAAAAGCCACTGACTACACAATTAAAGTCATATGTTGAGATAATCCATTTAGCCCTGTTGGCTGTTGGCTCTTGGCTGTTGGCTTTCACTTACCAGCGGTGAATAGAAGGCGGAGCTGTCCACTCCGATGCTCTGGTAGGGGTTCTGATCCGTCGAGGGATAGGGCGTGCCGTAGACCCCGACACTGGCCGCCGGCAGGCGGGAGTAGCTGGAGAGGGCGAGACGGGCCGAATCGTACTGGCAGGAGCAGACGGTCTGCCCCGAGACGGGATCGGTCATTATGGGACGGCCGTTCTCGCAGCATGAGCTTCCCGTTGTGGGCGTCGTGCCCACACCGTTGCCGTCCAGGGAGCCCCCGGTGGCCAGGTCAGCGGCTCCACCGGCCGCCCCCCCGACCACCGATCCTGCCGCCGCATTCGAGTTCTGCGAAAGAGCATTGGGACTGAGGGCACCCGATGAGGCATCACCACCGCCACCGCCACTACCCGGGGCCTGCTGGTTCGTCTGGCAGTCCGCCGCACCTCCCGTAGGGCTCATCGCCGGTGCGTTTGTCATCACCAGCGATGCATCGTTCACATTCGGGGAAGTGTCCTCCGAGGCCTGTGCATTTGGCGGCAGGAGCTGCAAAAGATTCGCAAAGAAGAGACGAGAGATATGTTGATGTGAGAGCAGGCTTTATCGGTACGGGCTACGGTATGCCGTTTTTGGCAAATTAAAACACAAATGCGGCTTAATTAGCTCGAGCATTTAGCTCCTTCTTATCTTAAGTACATATTAAAAACAGAAACAGAAACAGAACCTTCGGAGACACCCGAACGAGCGGGCCCCCTAAATAACTGATAAACGCTGGAGACTGGAGCTGCCACTGGTTTACATAACTAATGCCTGTTAATCAGGGGGCAATTTTAACCTTAATTTCGAGCACCTGGGAGACACCTCGAGGGAGATAAGACATATAATATTTGTCGCCCAATCCTGACAGAATGGATGTATGGATTATGGATCCACTTTCAAGCAGCCCCATCTACTGCCTTAACAATCTCGTAATTTGCTGGGGCATTAGACGGCAGGCCTGCCCTGCCCCGCCCTGCCACAAACAGGATGCACACGAATCAAACTAATTTTCTAGAACATTAACTCGAGAAGCTATGTTAACTGGTTTACTGGAAGCGCTTCATAAATATTGATGTCCCGAGATGGCTGTCGCGCATCGGGCATCGCGATACCCATCTCCCGATGGAGGGACCGTGCAAATCCGCGAGAGGAGGCTGCGCAATTTTAGTTTTAATTCGAAAAATCGACAGAGGGTGCATTACAAGATGCACCGATGGATGATAACATGTAAGCGAATATGGTGTTAACACACAATCAGCGCCAGCCGTGGAGGAGCACAGAAGCTGCGTGGATCCATAATCCCGCGGCGATCAGGCGACCAACCGACCGACCGACCGACCGATCGACCGACCAAACGGTCATATTTCCTTAATCAATGGCTCTGCCCTGAAGCCCCATGGATGCGCTCCTGCAACTGCAATGGCGGCCACATCAATTACCCCGCAAATCGATTCCAAGTGCAGCCAACAGCATCAGAATCAAAAGCAGAAGCAGAAGCAAAAGCAGAGGCAGACTCTTTTTCAGAGTCCGTTGATGTCCTCCATCTTGGAGAGGTTCGCCTATGGCATGCGCCGGTCACTTGGCAATTAATATGCAAAATGCGCCAAGCCCAGCCAAGTCCGAGCCGGTCGAGTGTCTTGGGTCGGGGAACGGCTGTATAAAATGCCAGAAATCATTGAGGGTGTGGCAGCCGACGCCTATAGGTCCGCTGGCCGATGGTGGAGACCGAGATGGAGCCGGAGAGATGGACATGGAGATGGAGACGTCGTCCCTACACCATCAGGAACATGCCGTCGAAGGCTTCTGAAAATTACCGCGGGCAATCTGAAAAACGACCTCGTCCGCTGCCTTAATTTCAAAGTATTTTCTGCTGCTGCCTCTTTGCGAAAAATATCGCTGGACCTATAATTAAGTTGAATGCTTGGGCTGATGGACAGCTACAAATTGATCGAATGCCAACGGAATCGATCCGGAGCAGAGCGGAGCGGAGCGGAGCGGTCCCTATATGCCACATACGTACGTACATCCCCAACCACCGGCCCCAAAGGTCAGACGCGCCGTGCAGCAATTTCTGCCTTAGTTACAGCTTCTGTGGCACGTTCAGGACAGGTCTGAAACATTCTGTGCAACATTTAGGGCTCTGCCAAGCTCATAATTATTTCCAGTCATTAACATAATCTGACAATAGAGCCGGCCAGCCTTCCCCCGAAATGTTTCCCCTGCAAGTATTTTGTTTTGTATTTTGTTGTATTTTTCGTATAATTATTGTGCCGGGCAGTTCTTAAAAAGGATCGATCGATCCCTCTAGGAGATCCCTCTACAAGAAGTTTAATTTGCCAGAGCAGACCACAAAAAGCCCAAAGCCAGAGAGAAATATGAAATAAGAAATATGAAAAATTTCAACATTTCATAATTAATAAAGAAAATATTGAGTCATGCTGGAAACGTTCGTCGAATAATAGAATTTCGAGGCCAAGATCGTTGACTATATATAGAGGGACCTACACTAAGCAACATTATTAAAACCAACAAAAACAAAAGCAACAAAATCAACCAAAAACGAAAATCGAAAAAAAACCAACAGCCATTTATCAAATTTTGAGAAATGAATGATTCAGGTTTTTTTTTCGTTCGTTGTGCCGCGTGATTTTAATTAGTAAAAAGCAAATACATTGTACATTTCTGATTGTATGGGAATGAATGTTTTTGGTGGAGCGACGAAGGCTTGAAGGCTTGAAGCCTTGAAGCTTTGAAGGAAGAACTCACTCGCCCAATCGCCGTTCCCATGGAGCACGCACTGCCCGCCGATCCGCTCCGGCCTCCGAACCAACCCAAGCCGGGCAGAACAGAACTCTCACACAATATGAGAATTATGACAACTGATCTGATAGGCGACACCATATAGGGAGCTCTATGCGCCTGCCAGATTCCACTGCTCCTTGGGCAAATGCATTATTCATGAGAAGCCACAGCCACATCCACAGCCACAGCCACAACCACATTAACGTCCCCAAGCTTGGAGAATGAGCAAAGCTCTTGCCTTTACCTGACCACTGGAGGAAGCGCCAGCGAATCCAGCGCGGGACGACACTGGGCCACGGCCATGGCCATGTGAATCGGACTCTGGACATCCACATCCACATCCACAGACGCAGTCCCAGTCGCAGTCGCAGCCGCAGTTGCAAAAGCAGACGCAGACGCAGACGACTGGCAGGCGACAGCGCACAGATAAGATCTGGCCATGTGTGCACTACCACTGCACATCGGAAATTTCTGTGAATCGCAAACGCAGAGCGCAGAGCGATCTAATCGCGACTTGTATCTCCGTCCCCTGCCATCCGCCAGGCCAGCAGCCCAGCAGCCCAGCAGCCCAGGAGCCCAGGAGGAGGCTGGCAGCAAGGGGGCCTGGTACGCAGTGGTGCCCCACCGCTCCACTTCTGGTTCCACCTGACCCTCCCCCACAGCCTCCTCCCCCGCCTTGGGAGATGACCAAGTTGATAGCGTAAGTCGGCAAGCGCCACATGGTGGGCACTGTGGCAAGAAGGCAGAAGGCAGGCAGGCAGGCAGACACACTACGGCTGGAAACGCAGTACCTATTGCCATGTAAAGTAGATCAATCCACTCTCTCATTCCGACACGGAATCACTGGGAGCCTACAGTCATTCGTCTTTGGATCTGGCTGGCTGTTGCTCTTGCTGTGGCCGTGGCTGTGGCTGCGACTCTCTGTAGGACCTCCAGTGGCCATCCATGGATGGCCCTATCAGTGTTGTAGAATCTGAACTGCCGCTGCTCCCGGAGCGTACGTACCGTGGAGCTGCTGGGCTGCTGGGCTGCTTGGCTTCTGGGCGCTGGATGCTTTCATTGATTCCCCGCTCACGTAGTCGGGCGCGCATGCTCGGGCGCATTCCCAAGGCCTGCCCTGAGCTGTCACTTTACGGTTATGAAGTTTATGATTTACGATCGCGCCAATTGAATTTTATTGACTTTTCAACAGTTTCACCTGAGTGTGTGCTGCGATCGGCACCTCCCATTACTTCCTCTCTGATTGCCTCTGTCAGGTCCCTTGCCGAGTGTTTTTTTTCTGTTTCTTTTTCTTTGGCTTTTTCCCCCCCCTCCCCCCACTCTCTGTCTCTCTCTCTCTCTCTCTGAATCTCTCAAGTCGAGTCTACTACAGACATTTAATTGGACTCGTGTGGTCCAAAATGGAAAACGTTTGCGAGGAGTACGAGCGAGTGTGTCTGGAGGAGTCTCCCACCAAATGGAAACAGTGTTTTTTTCTATTACCGATCGTGTAGTAAGCAATTATTGTACATATATGTATGTGGGTTCTGTATTAGCCTGGGATATTTAAATACCCCCTGATTCTGGTCGCATACCTGCCATAGGATACACCCCTCAATTTATTTTAATTACTGTCGTATCGACATAGTCAATTTCCCATAAAAGCAGAATGTTTTTATAATTTGTGTGGAGTAATTTGAGATTTTGCTTCATATTTCCATTATCTATTTTCTTGGCAATCAATTCTGAAATTCTAAACAAAATATCTACACTTAAAGCTATCATCTTAGTAGCATTTAAGGGATATAATCTATTGGGATTGCCAAGTAAATGTATGTAGGTTCATTCTGTTCAAAAGTCTATTTTTGATGATAGTCCCATTTCCAATTGGATATCTACACATGATATAAGATATATTAATGTTTTACCTGAGAGCCCGACGGAAAGCCTCCGTATCCGAATTGTGTGTAGGCAGCCATTTCCACTGATTGACTTCCTCTTCCTCGTGGGTGTTGCAAAGTACTCTTCTCGCTGTCTGTCTGTCTGTCTGTCTGTTAAAGTTGTATCTCGAAGATGTGGGGCTGCAGCATCAATCTTCCACTCCTGACACTACGATGTGGCAGGAGACTCCTCACAGTCTGATTCGATTAGTGTCCTCCGGAATACCGCTCGGTGCGATTACTGGCTCTGTTCACAGTCACAAAAAAAACGGTCACCAAAACCCGCCGACCGATTAGCCAGATTCGGCATTAGGATTACCGGAATCTTTGTTGTGGCAGAGGGACAGGCACAGGCACAGGCACATGCACAGGCACAGGCACTCAACTCAACTCAACTTAAAGTAACTCAAGGGTTCGTTCTTCGGGCCCACAGGCAACACGGCGACGGCTCTGTGGCACACACAAAAAAAATATACTACGAAACAATTTCAGCGGCAAGAACGGGTATATTACGACAGGCGACGGAACACTCCAGACTACAGATGTGCACCTCCTAGTACGTTCGAACACGAACTAACTGGTTGCGAGCGAGCAGACGACGAGGGCCAGCACGAATGCCGTTGCTGGGAGCCCGGCCCGGCCCGGCCCGTCCAGAGCCGGCCAGAGAGTCGAGTCGCATTCCGTTGCAGGCCGGGGCAGACGTGGCGCGAGAGTGGGACAACGCTATACTCCCCGGGCGCACACAATCCAACAAGAATGCGACTGGAAGTCTCGGCTGTGGCAATGTGGCATCGTGGCATCGTGGCAACGCCCTCCGAACAGTGCCACTGGTGCCAGTGGTGGTGGCAGCTGGCGGTGTCGTTCCAACGCATACGCTGCGCTGGAACACACTCTCTCTCTCTCACCGCCACCGCCAGCGGAGGGCAGGGGAAGCGACAGCGACCGACTCGTATCCACGGTGGCTGGAAGTACGCCAAAGCCCACCAATCAGAGCGCTCCATTGGGCTCGTGTGCGATGTGCGATGTGCCTGCACGGGCCTTCACGGGCCTTCACGGGCCTTCCTTCAGCTAGAGGGCCCCATGTTCTCGTCGACAGGTGCGACTTTTGGAGAGCAATCGCACCTCGTCCCGGCTCTCGGACCAAACAAAAGAAAGCAAAACTGAAATGGAAAATCCACCATTAACTGTTCTTTATTTTCACTCTTTCCCAGGCAGGGGTAGCACTCGTTCAGACTCTTGTTTTCCGTGGTCTTCGGCTTCAGGCCATTCCATTCCATTCGAATCCAATCCGTTTGGCAACGCCCATTTGTTTTGTTTGGCTAGTCATTTGTTTGTTTACTTTTGAAACTCGAATGACTTCTCGTTTTGAGTCTCTCTGGTCTGAACGGATCCGATCCGATCCGATCGTGCCCCGAAATACCCGCCAGTGTTCATGTACTGGCTGGATGACGCCTCTTCCCATTTCTGTGCTGATGGTGGCACAAAAGCCATGATATGATCATAAAATTCATTGGCACTTGGCAGTATTCAGTGGCCGTAATTATCAAAGAATTGCGTGACTTTTCATTCACACAAAAGATATACAAATATCTGCATAATGATTATTCCTTTCAACAAAAAACCCAAGACAAGTTGGTTAAGCTTTGATTTAAGCAATTATTCAAGTGCCATAGTGCACAGATATTGAGTTATTTTAATCTTTAACATTACCCACATCATTTTCAGGCATGGCGTGCTCTTATGTTGATACTTATCCGATGTAGGAAAAAGCGTTAGATATGTTTTGCCAAAGTTAATATTAATCTAATATACAGCCATGCTCTGGTTGTCACAATCCCGAAGAGAACTTGGTGGAAATTCAAGTGCGAATCATTACCCCGCACAATTATATCCATTGACAGAACTTACTTGCCTGAGAATTAACTTTGAAGACGCATATAATTATCAAAGGATCTGCAGTCACCAATCAGCATGTAGCGATCTGCAACAAAATGCATATCCAGGTCATCCCACTGCCCAGGGGCCAGTGTGTACTGAGCGAAGAGGCATCATCGAGTGCATCGACCAATCATACATGATATATATTCCACTGTGTTGCTCTATTCATCCGTGATTAATTAATCAATATACAGCCAAGCTCTGGTTATCGCATATCGCCAAAAGACCGTCAAATCGCAAAAGTGCGTGCTCCGGGTTTCACAAATCGTAAGATTCTTACGTTACGTTGTGCTATTTTTCCGATCTCAAAAATTAATTGCACATAGTCTATAAATAAACATTTTTATGAGATGGTAAACCCTATAAACATATGTGCTGATGTTTTAAATTTCTATTTTTATAATTGAAAATGTATTTTGGTAAATCGTAATATTTGTAATAAATAGATATAAATAGATTTATTTCTTATCACACCTCAAATTTTAACACACCCAAATTTTACCAAAACAATAACGAATTACAAAATATCGGTTCCATAATTTCCGAAATTTTCGTTTTCTTTTGGTTAATACAATACATCGCAATACAAATTGTGAATGAAACTAGTTGCGAAATCAGGAGCACACAAATTTCAGTTTCTAAGAATCTTTCCAAAATCGTAAACTCAAAACTGTGCGAAAACCGGAGCATGGCTGATATTCTTTGTTCTTTGTTCATTTCCAGACATGCTTACATACATACATATGTAAGTACATGCCCTTTGCGAATACATTTTTATGTATGTCCAGAAAAAGAGCCAATGGAAACCATGTGCGTCTCCTCAAAATAAAGATCTATTTAAAAATAATTTAGAAATTGTTTGAACCGATCGTTGGTACTTATAGTAATTATTTGAACTAAAGTTTAAGTTCTATAAAATTATTATATTTGCCCTAGTGTATATATGAAATGGACAGTAGATCTCGGAGTTTATGAGAGCTTATATTATAAACTATCCTCAAGTAAATGGAACTTCGAGGAAAATCCTACAAAAAAATATATAAAAAATCTATGAACGCCCCAAGGTAATATTTAAAACAAATTTGTGGTCCATTGATAGCCGTTCTATGGGTTTCCGTTTTTTACAAAGGTAATCTAAACTTTTGATGACTATTCATTCGAGTACGAGTATGAGTATGAGTATGAGAGTGCCACTGGCGGTAGTTCGTTTCGTAAAAATTTGAAAAAGTTATGCCATTTGCAAGTATAGCCACTAGCATATTCCGAATGCCGTTTTATGATCTATTTTTTACGATTCAGTGGCAGAACGAGCACTGCGCCAGGGAACTAATGGCGCCGCATGCCCCTGACACGCATTTCGGAAATGGTCCTGTCCTATCCTATCCTCTCCACTCCTCTCTAGGCCAATCCCTGTCCAGTCCACTGTCAGATGAGATGAGATGAGGTCGCCTGGCGATGCCATGAGGTAAACCTCAAATGATTTTGCGGGTGTCGCGAGAGTCCGCTGTACGCCCGTGTGTTGTCAAGCTTGTTTGTTGTGTGTATGATTTTTTTTGTGCATGTGTTTTTTTTTGCCTGGTTTTATGATAATGTAATAAAAGCAAATTAACCTATAAAACCCAAAAAGTGCGACTTACACGATGGAATTGCGCCATAAGGTCTGGGCGTGTCCCCACCGCTCGCTCGCCGGAGATACATCCATACATACGTACGTATACATCTGTACGTATCTATATCTGTGAAACGGAAAGAACGAAAAAGATCCACATGGTGGTGATGCCAGGTTGGGTGCCTGTGCCAGTGCCACCCACCATGGATTGTAGAGAGCGGAGAGGGAAATAAGAGCAGCGTGTTAGCTTAAAGCAACAAATGACCAAAAGCAGCTCCGTTTCCCTCGGCTCTCGCAATGGCCCTGGCGCTGGCCCTGGCCCTGGCACTGACGCTGGAGCTGGCGCAAACGTGAATTAATTTCCAGGGAAGCCAAAGCCAAAGCCAAAAGCAAGTCATGCAGAGGGCAGAGAGCCCGGGACCAAGTGCCCCTCCGGGTGTTAAGTACAATATTTGCTGTGTTGCGCGTTTTACGAGTGGCGCTTTTGCAATCCAGCCAGGCGGGGCAGGCGGGGCAGGCGGGGCAGGCGGAGCAGGGGCGGGGCTGAGGCTGAGGCTGAGCCAGAGCAAGAGCCCGAACCAGAGCCAAATGCAATCAATCAATGGGTCAGCATGATGGTACACACCAGACGAGTGCCAACCACATGGGGCGTTTCCATTTGCGGCCGCCACATTGACCACCCTCTGTGTGGGACTGGGAACGGGAGTGGGACTCTGGCTGGGAATGGGACGCGGATCGCATACGGCCTGGACAGGGACAGGGACAGGGACAGGGACAGAACAGGGACAGGGGCTGGGATGGGATGGGATGCGGAGTCAGATGCCAGCCCAATGGGCATCGCATCCTTGGGCAAGAGCTGCACTTCACTTACAAATCAGTTGCCGCCACTTAAAACCTATTTTGACAATTGAGCTGTCCGCCTGTCAGCCTGACAGCGCGCACTTTTCACGCCACCACTCGATAGTGCCGTGCCGTGCCGTGCCGCGCCGTACCGTGCCGCGCCGGATGGTGGTATTGCCATTGCCATTGCCATTTTCCGCACCGCACCGCACCGCACCCCACCCGGGGCCATTAGCTGAGGGGCTGAGGGACGCGACGCGCGTTTTATGCTGTTTTAATTGCAACATCTGTCACTGCGGTTTATGCATATATCAATTTCAAAATAGCCAGAAAATGGCAACGGCAATGATTCGAATCCGCAGCCCATGCCCAGGCACAGACCCAGGCCCAGGCCCAGGCATAAAACCCAAACCCGAGCACAACCCGAGCCGCTGCCGCCATGGAAAATGAAATATTTTCATTTTTATTATTCACTTGCACAACCCATACGGCAAAACTGTCACAACACACTCGCTCGCTCCTGGCGGCTGTCGGACTCAGTCCTCCGTTCCTCTACTTATATGACGAGGGGTTGCCCGTTGCCCCGGGTTCTGGGTCCGTGTCCGTGTCCATGTCCGGGAGAAGGGTCAGGATACGCACCACACACACACACACACACACACACACGCAACGCACAACCTTTCCCTTTTGTCATTGCTGCTGCAGTTGTTTGTGTTTTTCTGATTATTGTCATTTTCAGCGGGCTCGACTTTAATGGTTGTCAGGAAACATTAAAAATTGTCACATGAATATATCGCGCCGTTTCATAATTGAGTTCTTCATAGTACACTCACTCGCACACTCGTACTATTATGCAATGTCTGCCTGTCTCGCTCTCTGTCTGTCTGTCTATCTGTGTGTCTGGCTTATAGGAATACACGTAAGTACCTACATGTGTAAAATTGAGACATGTTTTACTCTCTCTCTCTCTCTCTCTCTCTCTCTCTCTCTCTCTCTGAGAACCCGGGGATTTTTACATTACGATTGCGGTACCACTCCACAAACTAATCAAATATCTGTAAAAACTTTCGAAAGTAAGTAAGTATTAGTAAGTAATCATTAGTTATTTGGGTTAAGAAGAGCACAAAAAAAAGCGAGTTTGTAGTTTTAACTACTTTATGCTATAACAAATCTTTGGCTCAATC